TAGCAACGTTCGCAAAACAAATACGAGGCAGAAAAAATAGATGTGAACCCCGCTTACCGGGGGTGAGAAGGCGTGCGAGATGCTTGGCTGTCCCCCTCCCCAATTCCTCCCACCTCGGGCGGGTGATAATGGGGGAGGGGGTGACCTAAATGGGGGGTGAAGAAAAAAGCCCTAAAGGGGCCATTGAGGGCCACATTTGGAGCCAGGAGGGACCCAAAAGAGGCCCTAAAGGGCCCGTTTAGAAGCTATTGCTTCACCCTCCATTTGGGTCACCCCCCATCACCACCCGCCCGATTCCCCGAGGGTCCAAAATCCGGCTTGAGGAGGGGGGTATCCGCGCTCGCGGGCGCACTCGCGAAGGCTCCAGAGCGTCCAAATCTGCCGTCCGTGGCCTCAAAGACGTGCCAAGACGCTCCCGAATCGCCGAACGGCTTGCCCAAGACGTCCACGATGGCTCCAAGACGCCCCATGACGCTTTCAGGACGCCCCCAGAGACGCCCTAGAGCCTCCCCAAGAGTGCCTCGAGAGGCAAAAAACCATGGTGTTCCGTAGGTTTTACCGTCATTTTGGGGCGATCGTCTTCTCATACTTCCGACGCTCCAAGACGGCCCAAGAGGCCCCGGAAACCGCCCCAAAACTGCCCAAGAGGCCCTTCATGGGGGCCCCGAGACGGCCCAAGAGGGTTCCAAGACGGCCCAAAGAGGGCCCAAGACGGCCAAAGATCGCCCCAAGAGGGCTCCAAGAGAGGCCAAGAGGGAGAACACGAACCGAAAATCTTACCTTTACGCTCCAAAAGGCCCCCCAAAAGTCCCCACAGGCCCCCAGAAGCCCCCAAGCGGCCCTAAAGAGGTCCCGAATAGGAGGCCTCCAAGAGGCCCGAAAGAGGCTCCAAAACGGCCCCCAAGACGCTTCAAAACTGCATCCAAGAGGCTCAGTCACGCCCCCAAACAGTTCCCACGACGCCCACAAGAGCCCCCTGATGAGACCCAAGAGGCCCACGACGCTTCAACCGTGGACTCACGCCTCTTCTGGGGGTCGGCCGAATGGCGTAAGCGTCTTGAATAAATGTGACACGTCGGTGGAACAATGAGCGCATAATCCAATGGTTGGCTGGTGATGCCTCGTAATGCCGACAGTATCATATACCAGTGCTGGGAGCGCGTACCCACTAGCATCAGTAAGGAATAGTTATGATCAAGCTGCCCACGACAGTCACGAAGGCAAGACAGCAAGTATGACGGCACAACAGACGTACTGATCACGATGATGGAGTTGACGATCACGGTACGATTGTTACAATAATGCGGCAAACGAATCAAGAAAGTATTCGCAGGATGACCGATCCCAACAATGAGACTCACAAAAACATCCGCACTGATTATATTCCGATGGTGGGGCCAGTCCTCTATTGTGCATTCCTTCATGAAAAGCAGGCGTGGTCATGTCACACCTTTGGACCGACCTCCCATACACTACGATTGGTGGTGCGCACTGGGCCAACGCATTGCAACTCTGCGCCCTTGCCGTGCAGCGCAAGTCTCCAGCACATGTCAAGACGAGAACCAGATAGGCAGGACACTTTTCCTTGAGCGTTGCAACCTGTGCCTGTCACGCTCGCACACCACATGCTGCCACGGTCCTTCCATGCGAAAGAAGTGAGTGCTGAACATATACTGCGGTGGAAACAAAAATCCTTGAACTTCCAGATGGGCATTGCGCGGGGCAGATGGGACTAATTGGCGCGCTCGCGCGTTCGGCATTTGGCCCATGACGGGTTGATTGCCGGTGGCCGCCACGGCCGTTATCGTGAAGACCATGGTACGTTGTTGGCGACCGTCGAGGTGATGGTGACGATCACAGTCAGCATCATGATGAGTAGTACCACAAAGTTGACATGGCCATGGTGACAAACTTCATGATGATGGATCGTGACCATCATCATCACCACCACCGTCATCAGCATCATCCTAAGAATCCTGATCCCCATCACCTTCATCATCATTACGATCATGATAGCGATGAGCTCCCCGCATCCCCCCTTAGACTCCTAGAGAAGAGTCGCTGTGGCGGGACGGGGCTGGATCCCTTTTCTGCTTAGTAGAATTAAACATATTCTCCGATGAGGACAAAGCAAGCCCCGTCCATACAATACATGGTAGATCAAGTCGCGGCCGAGCGGTATGTTTCAAGGAAACGCTACTTGCCCTGATGTATAATGACGGTCCCCACTGGCCCAAGAATCCGTCAGCTGCTCACGCCAGAAGCAAGGGCACATCGCTAGCCCAAGTACCATTCGTGAGCCCTGCGCCATTAATTACAAGACCAATTCAAACACATCGTAGCCCAGCGCGGGGCGCATGTCTAGCCAGCGCAGGTCTTACCTGCTCGAGGTACTGCGAAACTGCTGTACGCTTCAATGCTAATGTTGTGTTTCTGCCAGTGGGCTAGGTCTCTTGATGTGGCAAACTGCCACGCGCCACCATCCATCATTAGGATGATGGGTGGATGGTGTTGGCCGAATTCTGGGTATGCAAAACTGCCCAAACACGACGCAACGTGCCAAATTCATCATGTACAGCGGTGGGGAGTAACGCAGCGACGCAGCGATGTCATGAATTGCCTCTGAAGGGAGGCATGGCGGACTGTTGTGGATTCGAGGTTCAAGCCATAACCACGCTAAGATGGGACAAGCAGTACGTAGCACCCCGCAATTGCGGATAAGAATGAGGGGGCGGGCGCGGGCGACGCGGGCGTCGAGCCGGCGAACCTCGTGGCCCTCACCTTCCCTGTCGATGGCGCCCTCCTCCTCCTCCTCCTCCTACTCCTCCTCCTCCTCCTCCTCCTCCTCCTCCTCCTCCTCCTGCTCCTCCTCCTCCTCTTCCTCGTCCCTCGTCTTCATCGTCGTCGTCGTCATCCTCCGCCTCCTCCTCCACCTCCTCCTCCTCCTCCTCCTCCTTTTCCTTCCTCCTCTCTCCTCCTCCTCCTCCTCCTCCTCTCCTCTCCTCCTCTCTCCTCCTCCTCATCATCATCATCATCATCATCATCATCATCATCCTCATCATCATCATCATCATCTTCCTCCTCCTCCTCCTCCTCCTCCTCCTCCTACTCCTCCTACTCCTCCTCCTCCTCCTCCCTCCTCCTCCTCCTCTTCCTCCCCATCCCGATCCTCCCCCCTCCTCCTTTCCGTTGTCGTCGTCGTCTCCTCCTCCTCCCCCTCCCCCTCCGTCCTTTCTCGTCGTCACCCTCTGTCCCCCCCTCCTTTTCCTCCTCGCCCTCGTCGTCGGCCTCCTCTTCGTCCTCGTACTCGTCGTCGTCGTCGTCGTCGTTTTCCTCCTCCTGCTCCTCGCCCTGCTCCTCCTCCCCTCCTCCGCGGAGCGCGCGCGAGCGCCGGGAGGATGGGGCGGGGCGGCGACGGCGACGGCGACGGCGACGGCGGCGGCGGCGGCGACGGCGACGGCCGCTGCGGCGGCGGCGGCGGCGGCGACGGCGACGACGACGACGACGACGACGACGACGACGACGACGAGTTGCTGGATGGGTTGGTGTGGATGAGCGGAGCTTGAGGAGGTCTTGGGGGGCTCAGACGGCACGCAAAATCCGCCGCCGCCGCGCTTGTGCGGCACTGGCGTGCTGTGTGGCAGGGTTCGTGGACGCCCCCCTCAGGAGGGTCCTTGAGCGCCCCGAGGCCCCTTAATTGTGGGCGCCTTGAGCCAGCTTCCCCTGAGCCCAGGCTTTGGCCACGGATGCCGAATTGCAGCAGGCAGCTGGATTGTCAATGAACGTGTTCAGAGACAGCCCCGCCGCAGGCGCCGATGTGCTGCTGTACAGTCAACGTGGGCCGGATCGGGGGAATGGCACGAGGGCGCTTTCCCAAACCAATGCGAGTCAGCCCGCCGCAGGCGCCGATTTGCGTGCTCTGACAAGTTCAGCGCGGGGGGGATCGCTGGTGGGCCACCCGGAACGAATGCAAAAACAGCCCGCCGCAGGCGCCGAATTTTTGGCTTGGTCAGTGAACGTAGTTTGGGTTGCGGGTGGGTCGCGGGCTCTCCACCTCCACCTGAAGGAATTCAAAAACAGCCCGCCGCAGGCGCCGAACATTTTGATTTGTACACTGAACGCGGATTGGGTCGCAGGTTCTCCACCTGGAACGAATCAAAGGTAACCGCCGCAGGCGCCGAAATTTTGGCTTGTTCAGTGAACGTAGTTTGGGTCGCGGGTGGGTCGTGGGCTCTCCACTTCCACCTGGAATGAATTCAAAAGCAGCCCGCCGCAGGCGCCGGAAAGTTTGATTTGTACACTGCACGCGGCTTGGGTCGCGGGTGGGTCGCAGGTTCTCCACCTGGAACGAATCAAAGGTAACCCGCCGCAGGCGCCGAAAATTTTGGGTGGGTCGCGGGGTGGGTCGCGGGTGGGTCGCGGGTGGGTCGCGGTGGGTCGCGGGTGGGTCGCGGGTGGGTCGCGGGTGGGTCGCGGGGTGGGTCGCGGGTGGGTCTCGGGGTGGGTCGCTGGTGGGTCGCGGGTGGGTCGCCGATGCAAAAGAAACCCGCCGCAGGCGCCGAAGTTTTGGCTTGTTCAGTGAACGTAGTTTGGGTCGCGGGTGGGTCGCGGGCTCTCCACCTCCACCTGGAAGGAATTCAAAAACAGCCCGCCGCAGGCGCCGAAAAGTTTGATTTGTACACTGAACGCGGTTTGGGTCGCGGGTGGGTCGCAGGTTCTCCACTTAGAACGAGTGCAAAAGAAAACCCGCCGCAGGTGCCGAAAATTTTGGGTGGGTCGCGGGGTGGGTCGCGGGCGGGTCGCGGGTGGGTCGCGGTGGGTCGCGGGTGGGTCGTGGGTGGGTCGCGGGTGGGTCGCGGGGTGGGTCGCTGAGTGGGTCGCGGGGTGGGTCGCGGGGGGGTGGGTCGCGGGTGGGTCGCGGGTGGGTCGCGGGTGGGTCGCGGGTGGGTCGCGGGGTGGGTCGCCGGGGAGGTCTCGGGGTTGGTCGCGGGCGGGTCGCGGGGTGGGTCGCGGGTGGGTCGCGGGTGGGTCGCGGGTGGTCGCGGGGTGGGTCGCGGGTGGGTCGCTGGGTGGGTCGCGGGTGGGTCGCGGGTGGGTCGCGGGGTGGGTCGCTGAGTGGGTCGCGGGGCGGGTCCCGGGTGGGACGACGACAACAACAAACAACAACAAGAATCCGCATCGCGGAATTCCACTTCAGCCACGCACCCAGGGACAGTGAATGACCGTTCGGTTCAGCCCCCTCACTCTGATAAATGATCGCGCGCGTAGTGGACATGCCAAGTACCAGAAGCACCGCACTGCACCTTGACCTAAGACTTGAGTGTGTCGAGCCAACGCGGATGTGACCCAAATAGCTTGAGCCAAAATGGTCGCGGAAGTGGTAGTCGGCTCTCTGGTCGGCAAGTGGCACAGTCGATGGAAAGCGACGCGTGCACGAGTGCGACACCCAACCCCGCGCGCGGGCCAGATGGCGTAATGTCGGAAGCAACTCGGTTCTAGAAGTTGAAAATTGCTTCGCGTGTCGGAAATATCGACGCGGCACTCCTCGCCAAGCGTTTGTCTATTGCTCCCTCCTGCGTTCCGCGGAGGCCCGGCTTGCGAAGTGCAGCACAAACATTGCCATCCTGATGCTGCACAGCACGCCAGTGCGGCGCGGAGACGGACAGGACCAGGTACCCAGAATCGACCTTAGCACATCAACACATATCGGGGAGACGTAAGACTCGGGTACGGGGGATTCGGGTTGGACTGACGGGGCCGTCATGAAAATGACGAGACCCAGTCTAAAATTTGACGCTAGCTGCCGCTGCAAACATCCCACGAAAACTGGACCGTCGCAATCCAGGTCGTCAAAAAGCGAAGGCGAACCCGAGTTCCGGCGTACTCGAGCCTTACGTGTCCCCGAACATACGCAAGTCTGCTCCGCGCCGCCAGCAGGGCCCACAGATGAACAACAGCTCCCCGCGATCGACTCCCTGTCACCCGCCACGCTGGGATTAGATCGACAGCAAGGCAGCTTGCCCAACAGGATGTACTTGATCGGACACTCGCAAGACAATCAGCTAAGACCCCTTGTGCTCCTCGGAGGCATCTCCCGTGGTACCGCTGGCCGCTGACTGTACCTCAGGCTGCCTGAGGCTCGGGGGCCTGCTATCACCACTGGACTGTTCAGTCACCAAGCTTGCTCGTTGTCACTCCATGGCCTCTTAGTCACCCTGGACTCGGCGGGCTTCCAGCGGCCCAGTGGATCTTCAACCACCCAGCTGCTCCTGGACGGCGCTGCTGTCACCCCCGAAGCAGCGGTCACCCCACGAGACCACCCTGCCGTCGGCCATGACCGCTGCAAAAGCCTTGCCCGTGGCGCAGATCTGCAACGGCTGCCCGGCAAGCCGACCTTGAACGCCGCTGCTGTCGCCGCCAGCCTGCGCGTCGCCCCATGTGACCACCGCGCTGGAGTCCTTGACTGCTGCGAACGCGCGGGCGCCCGCGTAGACCTCGCACACGCCTCCGAGGAGCTCTGCCGAGGCAGCGCCAGCGTCCCCGCCAGACGCCGCGTCACCCCAGGTGACGACGTGCCCGTCGCGCTTCACGGCCGCGAAGGCGCAGGAAGTGGAACGGATGAACTCGACGCCACCTTTGTCCAGCTCCTTGCGCACTCGGCTACTGTCTCCACCACAGGTCCCAACACCCCACGTCACTACTTGGCCCCCTTCCTTCAGGGCCGCGAACGCTCGGGAGTTGGAGTGGACCCGCACAACATGCTCTGCCAGCTGCTCCCGCACCTGCTTGCTGTTGCCGCCGAAGAGCTCGCAGCCCCAAGTGACAACGGCGCCGTCCACCTTCAGGGCCGCAAAGGCCAGGTCGTTTGCGAAGAGCGCCTTCACGCCCGACCCCAGCTGCGCCGCCACGCCGCTGCTGTCGCCGCCGCAGGAGGCCACCCCCCAGCTGACGACGCTGGCATCTGGCAGCAGGGCCGCGAAAGCCTTGCGGGTAGCACAAACGTCCTGCACGCCGGCGGCGAGCCGCTCCGCGACAGCGTCGCAGTTGCCGCCGCAGGAGGGGTCGCCCCAGCTGAGGACCTGGCCGCTGTCCTTCACGGCCACAAACGCCCCCGAGTTGGAGTAGACCGCCTGCACGTCGGAGGCCAGCTGGCCCGCGACGCGGCTGCTGTCCCCTCCACAGAGGGCGGAGCCCCACGTGACGACGCGGCGGCCCTCGCCGACGACCGCGGCGAAGGCTCGGCTGGTGGAGTAGATCTTTCGGACGCCACCGTCGAGCTTCTCCTGCGCCAGCGAGGCGTCGCCCCCGCAGCCTGGCGAGCCCCAGGCGACCACCTCCCCAGTGCTCTTGACGGCTGCGAAGGCGCGGGCAGAGGAGTACACCCTGGCGACGCCGCTCGCGAGCTGATCCTGGACGCGGCTGCAGTCACCCCCGCAGCGCGCGTCGCCCCACGTGACGACTCGACCGTCGCCGGTCAGCGCCGCGAACGCGGAGGTGTTGGACCATGGCCGTTTCGCCGCCACCGACGGCCGCGGGGGCTCCGAGCACGACCTGGCGGACCGTCCTCGAGGTCCCCGCAGAAAGAAAACACAGTGGTCCGTAGACGCTCCGCGCTTCTGGCTTTGCCTGGGGGGATCTCTCTGCTCGTCCCCGGGCCCCCGCGTCGGAAACGGCAGCCACACACCACCATCATCCCATGGCCAGGGCCATGGCATGGTGATTAGAAGAAGAGAACGCGGTGATTAGAAGAAGAGAACGCGGCATAAACATACACTTTTGGCGCTCCGCGCGGATTTCTTGGATCTGCGCTGGCCCCCCTCCCTGGCGCGCTGAGCGCGCCAAGGGCGGCACCGGAGGCGCCGCTGGGGGGAGGCCCCAGCGCGGATCCAAGAAATCCGCGCGGAGTGCCAAAAGTTTCTGTTTATGGCGTTTTTTCCTCTTCGAACAGCTGCCCTCCCTGATCCCGAAGCCCCGGGTGAGGCTGAACGGCCATGGCGTGCTGGAGCAGAGCACCGGCGGGGGCATCGCCACCGCCGTCAGCGTGTCCTCTGGCCGGAGCCCGGCCGTCAGCACCGTGTCGCTCCAGTCCAGTACGGCCCCGCCAGCCGAGAGCAGCGCGCGGATCCGCCTCCTCGCAGGGGCCGTGCAGACCACGCATCCGCATCCTCGCCGCCCTCCCCCCCAGGTATCGTCCTCCTCCTCCTCCTCCTCCTCCTCCTCCTCCTCCTCTCCTCCTCCTCCTCCTCCTCCTCCTCCTCCTCCCATCCTCCTCCTTCTCCTTTCTCCTCCTCCTCCTCCTCCTCCCTCCTCCTCTCCTCCTCCTCCTCCTCCTCTCCTCCTCCTCTCCCCTCCTCCTCCTCCTCTCCTCCTCCTCCTCCTCCTCCTCCTCCTCCTCCTCCTCCTCCTCCTCCTCCTCCTCATCATCATCATCATCATCATCATCATCCAACCGCCACCACGGCACAGGCACCCCCACCCCAGGTGGTTGATGCGCACGTCAGAGGCACCCCGTGTCGCGGCAGCGATGGTTGCTTGCCTGCGGGGCCCGCAGGCCCTATGATGGGGGCGCTAGACGCCGTGCCTCGCGGCCGCAGGCTCCTCGCCGTGTGCGTCGCGGGCTCCTTCTTCGTGCGTTACATGACACACTACGACATTCAGCCCCCACAATCGTACAGGACGATGCGAGTGGTCTCCTACAACCCCATGCATTTGTGCGGCACCAGGGCCGAGGAAATCTCGACCGAGTTCTCGAACATGGCCGCAGTTCTTCTGCATGGGACCGCTCGTCGCAAGGGAGAAGACGCACATAGTTTGTTTCGTCGCAAATCACACTACGAGATATCCTTCGGTTATTCGAGAGCCTCGAACAAGGCTTGCGGTACTAGTATTACGCTCCATTCGAAAATTATTCCTCTGAGGCTTCTGAAGAAAATCTACGCGCCCCCTGCGGGGCTGGCTGGTTGGTGTGGTGCGGTCCGAGAGAAATCGGGGTCCATAGATTTACTCTTAGTCACGATGTACTATCCAGTCCATGAGAGTGATCGGGGGCGGCGGGCCGAACATCGACTGCTGGTCCAACGCCTTATTGCATGGCTTCGCCAACTTCTTTCTTCCGTGGGCGCGCGCTACACTCCGATTCTGGGAATTGACTTGAACGAGGGACTGGGGACGCCCCTGGATCTTACATGGGAGGGTTCCCCAATTCCTGCCGCCGTCGCGCAGGACGACGAGTACGAGGCCATCGGACCTTTCAACGCCGATTTCGAGGGCGTGGCGGGGCGGCTCTGGCGTCGACTGTCGCTTGACCACTACATGTGTGCATGGAATACGTTGTACCCTTTGGGGCCCGCATTCTTTGGCACGGCAGGCGCTACATCTCGAAATGATTCCATTCATATGCCACAGGCGCTGAGAGCTTTTCTTGTGAAGTGCCAGATTCTACATCAGACAGGACGACGGCTGCAAGAAATCAATACGTTGGGCGATCGAGATCACCATCCGCTGCATATTGAGTTTCGATACGAATTTCGGTTACAGTTTCAGCAGACTCGACATCGCTGGGACTTTGACAGAACCATGGCGTCGCTGACTAAAGGACGGGCCAGCACGGAGGCGATCGAGAACATTCACGCAGCGGTGCTCGCTATTCCTGAGGACGACTGGATGACAGTGTGCACGAGGGCCACACCTGATGAAGCATGGAATTCGATGGCTTCACGTATTACTAATTCTTCTAAAGGCACACTTGAGTGCCAGACGGAGGAGGAGACCGCACCTTCGGAACTGGAGACCTAGAGCTCGCAACTCCCACGTGAGCGGAAACACCTTCGGGGACGCTTCATCGGCCAGCCGACTGTCCACCGCGAGGACGTCGAAGTGCAGCTGGCCAGAGTGACTTGTAGAATCAGACGCGCTTCGTGTGCGCTCACCAGACAGAGAAATGCCGATCTCACCGCCGAGTTGAACCAAGCTTGGCGCGAACGCGATCACTTCACGGTTCAGAAACCGATCCACCGACTCGCCAGGAAGGGGCGCGGCCCCAGGCACAGGCGCTACCTCGCTGCGTGCTCGGAACAAGTCGAGGCACAGGACATTGCAGACTTCTTGTGTCGGCCCGCGGCCACCGGCGGCCTCAGCGCTGTGCCCTGTGATCTTTCCTCCGAATTACTGGAGCGCTTCGAGCGAAGCACCACGACGATTGGGATGTCAACGCTGAGATTCGGTACAATGCCATGCAGAACAGCAATCTGGATTAGGCCACGACGGACTTCTTTGGGATTCTCAAGCAACTCAGACGCGCCCCCAAGAGGCGTGCGACGCCTTCCTGGCCGGTTCTTTCGGAAGTTTGGCTGTCGCTGCTGGGCGAGGAGAAGTGGGGCAACTTTCAGGGCGGAAGGCTGGGCTCGGACCTACGACCCACCACCGTCACTGCTTTCACTGAACGCTTCACGGACGTGCTGGCCTGCTTCCGCAGGACGCAGATGACGCCATTGATTTTCGATGTCTCGTTTGTGTGGGACTTGATAAGCGGAATGGTCTGCCTGGCGCTGATGGTTCACGCTGGATTCATCTATTCTGCCCGCCGGGGAGGGCCTGGGACTCGCGCGCATGGGTTCGGGCGCGCTTTCATCGAGAGGCTTTGCCTTAGGTCTGTCATGGATTTGCCAAGAAGTGCAGACGGGAAGATGCTATCGCAACTCGCGCTTGCACCTCCTGGAGGTTGCAGAAGATTGGCCTTCCCCACGTTGTCATCAACGAGGATGCGACAAATGCTTTCTCGAGTGTGTCTCGCGATGTGATTCTGGATACTTTGCCATTGCTGTATCTGTCAGAGGACGTCCGTTTTCTGAGTCAAAGAACGACCGTGAGTGCCGTCCAGATTGAGACGGCGAACGCCACGATCACAATTCGAACGAGCTCTGGGGGCCTGATGGGCCTTCCAAACGCTGCGCGCGGTTTCCCTTTCCACTACCAGAGGGGCCTGGAGCCTTTTTGCGCGGCCAGGGGGCACGCGCCTTCCCAGGCTTGCGCAGCGGTGTTGGAGCCAGGCGGGCTGGGCACCGACGTGGGTCTCTCGCTGTTCGCCGATGACATCACGACGCAGGTCATCGCAGGCTGGGCCCCGCCCCCCTACGGGGGAGGTGGCGACGCTCGGGCATAGCCGGCGCAGGCTCGGGCGAGCAGCGAGTTGTTCCAAGAGACGATGGGCGAGATTGGCGCTTCGCTCCACCCGAACAAAAAGAGTCTCGGTTGTGGCCCTCGTCGGTCCTGGTTCGGTCTCTCAGGGGCGTCTCTTACATAGCGGGGTTCTCGAGGCCTCTGAGAAGGCGCAGCGCTTCACGCGTATCTTGGGCGGCTGGATAACGGCGACGGGGCCCCTCAACGTCGAGAGACAAAAACGACTTCAAGCAGGTCGGACTGGACTGGGGAAGATATCTAATTTTCTTCGGCATCCCGCCGTCTTGAGCGTAAAACGCACGCCTATTATTGCCTCCGTGCAAGCCGCCCTGCTGCCTGGAATGGATGCCCGTGCCCCCGGTAAGCCTTTCTGTGTGGAGGCCGACAAAATACTTCTGCAAGCGATGCGACGCGGTCTGGGGGGCCCAGGGGTTGCTTCGTCGCTACGATGGCGAGTGTCGTCGCTGGTCTTCGGCCCGTCTGGCAGCCCACTGGAGGATTATTTCGTGCGCCTCCGAACTACGAGTGCGCCGTCTGAAGTGGTACCAGGACTGGTGTCGGCATCCCGAGGCCCGCAGACAGGTGCGAGCGATTTTCTTGGGATGCTTGGGTCAGCAACGCGTGATCTCGGCCTCCTGGGAGCTGACCTCGGAGGCGAACCCTTGGGCCGTCCAGGCGTTGGGGGATCTGAGACACGCCCGCGAGGCGTCGGGGGCATTCCAGGAACTCGCCCCCTCGGGATACCCACTCCTTCGTTGTTTTTTTGTGCGACGACGAGTTCGCGAGCTGGGTCGATCTCGATTTCACGGCCCTCGGGGCGCAGGCCTTTTCTCGCGCCGTTCCTCCTCCAGGTTTCGCTCAGGAGTTCCCACGCGGAGAGGAGGAGGAGGGCGACGACGCAAACGACGACATATGCCACTTGACGACGATCGACGGCTCCATGTGCGGGGAAGGGGTTCGCCTCCTTGAAACAGTTTCTGCCCCGCGCGGGCAGGGCCCACCACGTTCGGGACGAAGCGAGCCTGCTGACAGTGACCAACCCATGCTTTCGTTGTTTGCAGGTCTTGGGGTCTAGGGGGGCGGCGCAGCGACGCGTCGTGAGATCTTATCGGAGGAACATTTGTTCGGTGGGCAGAAGTAACTATCTCTCCTGCGACGTCATTGTTCCCCCCACGCTCACGTGCCCCGTCTGCGCCTTCGAGGCTCAAGATCTTCTGGGCCTGCAAGTTCACATTCGATCTCATTGCAATCCCCCACCGCCAGTGCGGTCTCGTCCTCACTTTCGCCTTCGCGCGAGGGATGGAGGCGGGCCTGGAATCGATGGTAGCCAGGGCCAAAGGCCGCAGGGAAGGGGCCGCCGCATCGGGAGAAGAGGCGCCAAACAAAAAGAAGAAGCTCGGTCAAATGGCGGACGGCGCCGACGACGACTTGGCCAAGGTCGAGGCCGCCCTGCGGGGCAAAGGCATCTCCAGTGCTCTTTCCTTGCTCCTCAAGATGGCGTGCCAGCGCGCACAGATAATCAGGGACCTGACGGCGTCCGAGTGGATTTCGCTCGTGCTCCCAGCCGACTGCTGCATCGTGAACGCCGCGAAGCGAAGACGGCGGGCAAGTCTTGCGCCGAGGTGGCAGCTGCTCAGAAGCCAAGGCGAAGCTCGGACCTCCTCCTATATATATATACACATACTTAACTATGTATACATATATATAAATATATATATATGTATGCATGCATGCATGCATGGTATGATATGTTATGTTATGGTATGGTATGGTATGGTATGGTATGTTATGTTATGGTATGGTATGTTATGACATGTTATGTTATGATATGGTACATTGTGTTATGTTATGGTATGTGATGATATGGTATGTTATGTTATGTTATGTTATGGTATGGTATGTTATGTTATGTATGTATGTATGTATGGATGTATGTATGTATGTATGTAAACATAGGTGTATGTAACTATATATATATAGGGCGCGCCGCGTTCAAGGCCATGGTGGACAACGACGAGGCCAAAGGTCTTTTGGAGCCTTACGAGGCAGTGACAGCATTCTACACGAAGTTCCTCTCCGCAGCATCGCTGGAGGACCAGGCCCTGGTCATTCATCACTTTCGCGTTCGGCGATGCTACAACGAGAAATTCATGAGGCACCAGTTCAGCATTGCGGAAGGCTTCCAAATCGAAGGTTCAGAATTGACGAAGTTGCTCTTGGAGCAAGCCGTGATCGGGACCTCGACGCACCCCGGAGGCCGCCTGAAGTTCGGATCTGCACCTGTGGGCCACCTCGAGCAAATGGCCCAGAAGCTCCTGGATCGGACGAGAAAGGGGACCAGTGCAGGGAGCAAGCGGTGACCACTACGTGGGAACAGCGACTCGAATCACTTCGACAGCGTATTGCCGCCAGGGAACGCTTCCATAATCATTGAACGGTTCGGAATATCTTGTTAACCGTTCGCTCCATATCTACATAGTATGCTCCTTGGTGCTTTGACCGTTTTCTGTGCTGGTGATTGGTTGTGTCGCTCCTGTTCCGTGACACTCTCTCCACCGATGTCCTGACGAATGCTTCGGAGAGCCCACTGGATGGTGAAATCTGATACTCTACTAGACGCTGCGTCCACGCAATTACGTCTCTTTCGTTGTCTTCACGTTTTTGACCTGAGCCGCTTCACCCCCGAATTCGGCCTCCCGAACTGAAGCCTTCTTTTCTTGCGAGGCGTGCTCCTCGGGTTCACTACTTCGAGCGGCAGGCACCGTCCGCCGACCGCAACCTGCCCCTCGTTCCTCTCCTTTGCCCTCGCTCGTCTTTGGTGTCTCGGGTCCTGGCGGGTCTGTGCGCGGGTTGAGGGATGCCGTCTGGGGCCCCTCCTCCCGTTCTCGGTCCGTCCGCTCCTGAGACACCCAAGCTTCTCTCCTTCGATTGGCAGGTTCGGTCTGAATCTGGGGTCTTCGGGCGCTCCAGGGGCCTGCCTGGTGCACACAGCACCGCAGGCTTCGGCCCCTGTGGGGTCCGAGGGGGTTTTTCGCCCCCCGCCCGCATGCGTTCGTCCTTTGCGATCCGTCCCGAAACTTCGGTGGAGTTCTGGGCTGTACGGTGCGCTTTACCCTGACCTCGTAGCTTGTTCCCAGAGCCACGCTCTGTCAGAGGTTCCCCCGAGCGCCCTTTGAAGGTTTCGCTGCTCGCGGGGGTGTGGATCATCAGACCCACAGCGCAAAGCCGAATAGTATCTTATCTTATCCTCCTCCTCCTCCTCCTCCTCCTCCTCCTCCGCCGCCTCCTCCTCCTCCTCCTCCTCCTCCTCCTCCTCCTCCTCCTCCTACCTGGGTCTAGACCTTCAGGGACCGGGGGCCCAGACAACTGGCAGCTCGGCCGTTTTGAGGCGCAGGGGCCCCCCAGACCTCTCGACGCTTTGAGCCTGGGGCTGGCTATCTTCGTCAAGCAGCCAGTAGTGTCGACGGCCCCTGGGTCCTAAAAGCTGCCCCCCAGAGGCCCCAAAAAGGTAGCGGTGGCCATGTGGACTGCCTCAGGAAGAGGAGGATGAGGAGGAGGAGGAGGAGGAGGAGGAGGAGGAGGAGGGAGGAGGAGGATACGAGTGAGGAGAGTGAGGAGAGTGATGAGCGGCAGCAGCGAGACGAGGTGGAGGAGTCAGCACAGGAGGTAGAGGCAGACAAGGAGCTGGAGGAAGAAGAAAAGACATGGGATGAAGATTTAGTCTGAGCGCAGGTGGGGCATGACCCTCCTGTCAATGGGGGGGAAGCGTCATTCATCATCATCATCATCATCATCATCATCATCATCATCATCATCATCATCACCATCATCATCATCATCATCATCATCATCATCATCATCATCGTCATCATCATCATCATCATCATCATCATCATCGTCATCATCATCATCATCATCATCATCATCATAATCATAATCATCATCATCATCATCATCATCATCATCATCATCATCAGCATCATCATCATCAGCATCATCATCACCATCATCATCAGCATCATCATCACCATTATCATCATCACCATCGTCATCGTCATCATGGAAAAATATGCATTATTATGTGTGCTTTCCTTTGAGCCGGAAACGACGAAAGAAAGCCGTATCGAGTTGCCTTGCACAGCGGCGAGAGGATGCCGAAAATCAGCGGCAAGACTCGGGCTTGCGCGCAGACGGCCACTGGAGGTGGTCCAGGCTACCCTGAACAAGCCCACAAAGGTATCCTGGGGCGGTCTCAACACCCCAGCCTTGGGTCACCGAGCGCCCCCGGGGGGCACCGCTGAAGGCGGGACGGGGGTCTTCAGACCGATTCAGGCTACAGCGCGACAGGATCATAGGGATACGTGGTAAGGACACAAAGGCCCTTGCACGCCCAGATCGAAGCCGAAGTTGGACGTCCATAGCCCATGGCTAAGGTGTAGGATGGGCCGAGAGGCATGCAAGGGCACCCTTAGAAACTTAGCCGTCATAGTGCGGCTTCACTCTGTACCCTGGGGACCTGTCGGGACCAGCCTGGGCCACCTCCATCGGAGAAGGGCGTAGTTACTGAGACAAGCATATCAAAATCGGCCCCTCGACCCCTCCCAGGATCCAAACACACCAGTTTTCCGAGCTGCGTCCAGCCTTGGCGACGAGGGGCCCCCCCGAAGGCCAACTGCCGTTCTCAACTCGCCCTCCTCTGACTGCAGACTGCAGAGAGGCTGATCCTGCGCAACGCGCCCCGCTTTTGGAACAAGGAAAAGCGACACCACCACCACCAGGGACCACCAGCGGGAGCCCTGTGGTGCGGTCTCCCCCTATCGCTCGAGACATCCCCAGCCCGAAGCTCGGGGAGGCATCGTGGACCTCCTCGCTGGAGGTGGCCCCCCTGGTGGTGGTGGTGTCGCTTCTCCTTCCCCGACGCTTGGCCCGGGCTCTTGCAGCCCCGCTCCACCAGCCTCCGCAACGTGTCCACCGAGTCTGTCGCCTGCAGCGTCGCACGCCTCGCCAGCGCGCCCGAAGGCCAGAGCACCGACACGACGACAGGCGCGCCCCCAGCCGCGTCCCCGATGCTCCGCTTCTGTGCGGCAGCGTCGCCGCTGGGCGCAGCGGGCGGCGTGGCCTGCGGGCAGAGGGAGCGCGCTGGGCGAGGCCCACGCACTGGTTCCTCCTTCTCCTCTCCTCCTCCTTCCTCCCTCCTCCTCCTCCTCCCTCCTCCTCCTCCTCCTCCTCCTCCTCCTCCTCCTCCTCCTCCTCCTCCTCCTCCTCCTCCTCCTCCTCCTCCTCCTCCTCCTCCTCCTCCTCTCCTCCTCTCCTCCTCCTCCCTCCTCCCCCCCTCCTCCTCCTCCTCCTCCTTCTCCTCCTCCTCCTTCTTCTCCTCCTCCTCCTCCTCCTCCTCCTCCTCCTCCTCCTGCTCCACGTGGGGGAGCAAAGAGGTGTACCGATGCCGCTGCTCCCAGGGCCTCTCCAGGGGCGCAGCCGGGCCACAGCGTGTCGAGGAGCATCCGGCCGTGGCGACGAGGGCTCTCAAGGACAGGCAGTTGTATCGGTATCTTCTCCTCCCCGGAGGACGGGATCGTGCCCACCAGCGAGACGCCGCTCCTACGCGCCGGGCGAAGCTCGGGTGCTGGCAAAGCAGGTGCCCTGGGCCCCGGGGTGGCAGCCCCCGCTTTCCGCCTGCTTGCCTCGCGAGGGGCGCCCAGAGGCTATCACAGAGGGCCCTCCCTGGAAAGCCGCGGGGCCACCTCGGGCCAGGGGCACCTTGGGCCACCACCTGGGAAGCACACCCGCCATGAGAACACACACACACACACACACACACACACCGGAGGGAACCCACGCGCCAGAGAGAGGCAACGCACCAGCCAGAACCCACGCAGCAGAGGGAGCTCATGCATCAGCAATGGGAACCCACGCACCGGAGGGAACCCTTGATATCCAGCGGTGCGAATTTTCCGAGACACAGGCCACCAGACCTCCAGAGCCCTTCTGTGAAGCCGGATTTTCGTCCTGGGCTGGATTCTCGTCTCGAGCCGTTTTTGTCACGGTCCTGAGGGCCTAAAACTGGGCTCCGAGGGCCCAAACTTGTAAAGAAAAATACCACGTCTTGTTTTTCTGCTCGAGCCGCCAGTTCAGACTTCTGAAAAACTGGCTGGGAGTCAGAATCTGAAGGATGTCTGCAGCCAAGTGAGCAAGTGAGCCCTAGCGGGATTGTCCGATGCCTCAGCGTCGATGGGAACCGTAAGGGTACGGCTGGGAACGACCCCAGCGACACGCTATGCGCTGCAAGCGGATCGCATATCGTTTTGCTGAACGGGGCGGAGAACTGAGCTAGGAACAGCTCGTGGCACTGACGCTCAGGAGTGGAGACGTGGATCGCGCGGCGCGCCGAAACGTGGTGGGCCAGAACCGGAGGCGCGACTTCTTTGGTCAACGGCCGCTTGAATCCAAAACGCGGCACAGCGGAGGCCAGTCCGCAAGAAACTTTCCACAAGAAACCCAACCCTGAGACCCCAGGGCGTCCACTGATTCTTGGTCTGGGAACGTCACGCTTTCCATCGCAAAACCATCGAAACCCAAAAAACCCAGGGCACCTTGGAGGCAGGCAGGGCGTTTTTTTGGCAGGGGTCTCCACCGTAGAGGCAGCCGAGGAATGCACCGGAGCTGCATTGGGCACAAAGGCCACGAGAGAGGGGGTGCAGGGCGCGGCGGGCGGAGCACGCTCGGACCGTGAATGTCTTGCACCTGTGTGCCGGAGCACAAGCTAACATGGGCATGGTGAGCCAAAGAGCAATAGAGTCGGATGTGCGACAAGGATGCCAGGGCCTTGGACGCCCATTTCGAGCATTTTCGAGCGGGGCGCGGCCAACGCAAGTGGCCAAGGACGGGGCGAGGATGCAAGGGATGCAAAGGCACCTTTGGGAAGGTTGATCATCCTTACTATGCGGGTTGACAGCATGTGGCGGGATGCCGGGGGGCGATACTCCGAGGTGACCACGCACGCAAATCATGCGAAGCCGGCCGCGCGACACGCGGAGCCAAAGTTCTGGACGGCAGGGCCCGCAGGCGGTCGCAAACGGGCGAGACGCGCGCGGCGTGGCCGTCGGGCAGCCCGCGCCGCGCCGGGGCGCCGCGGCCCGCGGGGCGGCCGGCGGCGCGGCGGCGCCGGCGCAGGCCAGCCGGGGCGCCGCCGCGAACATTCCCCGAGATCCTGGCGACCCAATGTTTTCGAGCTGGACGTTTTCGCCCAATTTCGGGCCCCGTCACCCTCAGAGATCGATCCAGCTCGAACAATGGCGCAGAAAGATCGGGTCCGAGGCTCCAGTCATGGTTTTCACGATGTCACATTTTTTCGAGACGTCGGATCTCGGAGTTTTGCTCTGGCGCGCGCGGGGCCAGCGGGCGGGGCGCGCTGTGGCGCCCTCGGCGGAGCGGCGGGCTCGAGCCGAGGGGGCACACGGTGAGGGCATGTGATGCAGCCAAGCCGCTGCAGTACGGAACGCTCGTCAAGGAACGGAGCTCCTTTTTGGCACCAGGAGACCCTTGGTATACACGAGGAAGGCTGGAGGAAAAAACACGGCATGGCCTAAGGAACAGCAAGCCCCTTCCGAACCCAGAGCGGTCATTAATTCAGCGTCTTGCTGCACGGTGCCAGGATTTTTCTACCTTTTCGAAGGGCGAAACCCGCGCGCGCATAAATTCGCGACCGCGCAAACAGTGCTTGCACAGCCCGCAGGCGGGACCCCCAGCCCCCGAGGCGGCGATTACCACCGCGCCCACCGTTGGCCTTCGGCCTGGGGTCCACCGCCTGCGTTCTCACAGTCGCCCCGCGCGCCAGCCGCCCGCGCGACGTTCAACGGCTCCGACGTGGCCTCGTCATCGTACTCGCCGCGCACGGTGGACTCGGCATCGGAGATGGTGAGCTGGTCTCGGACGCACCAGGCCCTGGGGGAGGTGGAACCACCCTGCCAGGCGAGCCAGCCACATCGCTGCCACCCGTCGGCGGATCCACCTCAGGCGCCGAGGCTCCATGGCGCGCACCACCTCCTGCTTCGCTGACTCAAGCTCCTCGTCGCACTCCTGCGCGCCTCGGCCAGCGCCGCCGGGCACGCCCAGCGCGTCGAGGAGCACGACTGCCTCGCCCTCGGCAGGACTCATAAGGTCCAAGGGCGAGCCCTCCACTTCACCAGCTTGCTCCATCTGCGCAATGATCTCCGCCTCACCTTCCAGCGAGAGCGCCTCGATCGCCTCGAGGTCCTGCGAGCTGAGGCGAAGCGCTGAGAGCCCGCGCACGAGCTCCGCGTGGTAGTCGGCCGCAGGCTTCCGAATGAACCCCAGCTGCCCATTCAGGACGGCCTGGACAGTCCGCTCGGCCTCCTGCGGCCCCTGCTCGGCGAACACCGCCTGATCCAGGGGCTCCTGCAGCCCATCCGATGCGCGGGCGATCTCGGCCTCCTTGTGCCCGTGGCCTTCGCCGCAGGGCCAGTGCTCGACGCTGTAGCGGTCAGCGTCGTCCTGCTCCTGCGCTCGGCCACTCAAAAGTGCCCCGTCGAAGCGGTCGAGGTACCCCAAAACCCTGGATTCCAAGCCGAACTCCGACGGGTAGGCGAACTCGTCCGAGCACGCCGTGGTCATCGTGTCGTCGCTCGTCGCCACGCCAAGCCCGACGAGCGGCTCCTCCGCGTCACCGGCGTCGGCGATGGGGCCGCGTGTGGAACAAGGTTCGACGGCGCGCCGTCGGCGACGCCCCCAGCCTCCGACCCGCCGCGCCGAACCGCGGGCGTCGTCGGCACGGGCGCCACCACCTCCGCGGTCACGCCCTCAGA